AGCTGCCGGCTCATGGTTGCAGGATGTGCTGTGGGGCGCGGGGCGGGCAGGAGGCAGGAGAGGGAGCAGAGGGCACTGGACCTTCTATCTTGGCTCACCCCTTAAATAGCGCGGGCCTGCTGGATGGAGTCAGCCTAATTTGTAGGTCTGAAACATCATTTAGGCCATTGGGGGCCTCTTGGGTTCTTCATTTAGGAAATTACTATCCCCTATCTGAGATTTTTGTCTCTTCCTCCATGAACCCCCCATAAACCCCCAATAAAATGCCCCAGAACCCTGCATTTGCTTTGCTCACCTCCTGCATTATAATAATTTAGCTGCCTTATCGCCACTTGCTGCCATCCAATTACTGGGGTTATCACAGCCAACATCTCTGTGGAAGCTTCCAGCGGGTCTGGCGGCTCTGGATGTGTGGGGGGAAGAGAGAGGATCAGGGAAGCAGATGTCCAGGCCAGTTCTGCTTCAGGACATGACCCGGGTCAAGAATATTCCAGAGAATCATCTTTAGCCTGTCCCCTGCTGCTTCCTTTGGGGTCTGGAGGAGGATGGCTCCGCCCTGAGTATGGGAAGGAAGCCGGGAGAGTTGAGACTTCTGTCCCATCTGCAAGGAACTCTCAGTCTGCTTGGGGGGTAAGGGGGGCAGGACACAGTAAGAGACTTAGGTCACTGACAGACCTGGTCACAAGTGTTGGGGGTGACTTGGGTCCAGAGCTAACATGTTTCTCCAGAAAAGCATTTCTGGAATAAGAGTGGGGAGATACTGGCTGGGGAGAGGGAAGAAGATGGCCTGGGAAAGCTTAGGAAGATGGTCTTTCCTGAGGTTGTTGGTTTTTTGCGGGGACGGAGGGAGGTAGTTCTGAGTTCTTTAATAAGAGAAGAGGGATATTTATCCACTCCAAGGAACCTCTGATCAGGACATTTCCTGCCCTCATGTCTCTGATTATGGATCAATATGTGACCACCTATTAGGAACAAGGCCAAGAAGGGCTGAGGAAGACTCTTCAGATCTGAAATTAAGAACCAGATTCTAGAACTTCATTCCATGTAAGCATAGGAGTATCCTTCTTTGATTCTGGCCCAATTTCCTTTTCTCCAACCTAAGTTGCCTTCAATTCTTCTCTCAGAAACAGCCCCAGATAGGTTTCTACTTCATCATTCTATTCTCAGTTTGGTCCTCAGTATGTGTCCCAGTTCCCCCATCAGATTGACAAGTCCCTAGATTAATCCTCCCTTCCTCTGCTCCCTCCATGCTCAGCCCAGGCCTTGGCACCAGGGACACTCAGGATGACTGTGAAAGAGGTTGGTGCTTAGGACGAGGCTCATTGCTGTGCCCTCTGTTATATCTTGGAGCCTGGGCTCTCTGCGGGGCCCTCATGGAGTAGCCAGAAGGTACCTGGGGGTAATTGGCTGACTCAGCCTCCACTGAACCAATCACAGAGCATAATAACCACCAAGGTGTTTACCTCATGGAGAACAAGGCTGTAGGGCCATCGGTGAATAATGGAGTTGGCACCAGCCACAGATGAGCAGATAAAGGAGTCTGGGGTGTCCTGCATGGGGAAGAGGGTGGGCTTTCTGTGCTGTCTGAGGAGCGGAGGAGCAATGGCAGTAAGCCTGGGTGACCAGCAGGCCCTTTAAAAAGCTGGAAGTTATGTTTTCCATTATTTCATAAGATTTTTCCCCCTTGACCCATAATTTTAGCCAGTTTTTTTTTTCTGCAAGCCGGAAGGGTTTATTAATTCTGGTCATTGATAATACAAAAGTAAGAAGTGGATTAAAATTGGAACAGGGAAGCTTACATAGGATTGGCTGTGAAAGGGAGCCTCTGAAGTCTCCTTTTTTCTGGAAACTTTCTAAGGAGCTGAGACAGCCATCTGTCTAGGACCTCCCCACTTCTGCCCTGGATTAGGGAACAGGTAAGATGACCTTTTCTTATCTTCCATGAAAGGTTGACTGGCTGCATGAATCAGGAATTCCTCACTACCCTCAACCCGGGCTCACCTTCCTCACAGATTATGAGGAGACAGAAGTGACACATCCAGGTTCTAGAGGCATCAGATGTGTGGGCAGATCAAAAGGTGGCTGGAGTCTGAGAGGAGGGCTCCGCACTGCACCTGCCTCTGACAGCAGCTTGCTGTGTGACTTTGGCCTGGTGACCACCTCTGCACTCATTCTGGGTGAAAGCAACCCTCTGACACCACAGCTCAGCCATGTAAGATGGAGAAAACCCCTGTCAGTGAGGGTTTGCAAATGCATTGCTTGTTATATTGGGTCTTTTTGCCCTAGAACACTAGCTCTTGGGAAATGTGTAGGGGTGGATTCCATGATGGGTTGAAAAACATTAAACCAGTGACTTATTGCAAGACTTCTTAGATTCATTAACATGCTTAGTGCTTTCTATTACGCAAAGGGTGCTGCCAAAGTCAGTGTTTTCCACACACAGGGACTGGAAGTGGGAGTGTGAATAAGGGTTATTTTTTTCTACCTTTAATAGTTTTGCACTTTCTGATATGAATATATAAGACTGTATATTTATAAATCAGTTATGTTTTTTTTAAAAAAACTAGAGAAGAAAAGAAAAGAAGGCTGTTTTAGTATCAGAAAGAGAGGAATATATACTTTAAGAAACACTGAGCAAGTTATCTCCATTTCACCATTAAATCAACTTAAGTTTCTTACATTTAAACATACTTACAACATCTAAAAACATGAATATCTAAGTGTAATAAATATACTGTGCAATCTGATCTGGTTTATGGCAATATGCCCAGGGATACCCTATCAAAACCAAAGGGAGGGTGTTTGCCTGGACTTGAGAACATGTGCCAGCATCGTCCCAGCTCTGCTCAAAGAGAAAGAATTCTCAGGCTGGTAACCAATGTTGGTATCTACACAGGAAAAGGTTGTGCCCAAAACTGTTGGTGCTCACCAAGTGTCCTTGTTCTTCTCCTTATTTCCCAGCCTCCTTTGAGGTTCAGTGGAGGATTTGGTCCAGTTAAATATGAGTGGTATTGATCAGACTACGCAGTATATTTTTAAAAAATATATTTCTTTATTGATTTCAGAGAGGAAGGGAGAGGGAGAGATAAAAACATCAATGATGAGAGAGAATCATTGATCGACTGCCTCCTGCACACCCACTACTGGGGATCGAGCCCACAACCCAGGCATGTGTCCTTGACCAGAATAGAACCTGGGAGCTTTCAGTCCACAGGCTGATGCTCTATCCACTGAGCCAAACCAGCTAGAGCCACAGTATATTTATACTTAGATCTTTATATTTTTAGATGTTGTGTGTTTAAATATAGGAAACTTCTATGGTGAGGCAGTTAGCCCATGTGCCTCCTCTATTCTTTCCCCTGTTGCTGTAGCTTTGCAGGCCATGTGGGCCATGTGGTGGGGCTACAAGAGAGAAGAGCCAGGTTCCTGAGACACCCACTGGGAGAACCATGTAGGAGAGCTGCCCCAACCTGCCTTGGACTATGAGTGAGAAATATCAAGTTAAGCCATGAGATTTCAGAGTTTGTCATTGAGGCAGTCAATGTTAATCATCTGAATCGAAGCATAGAAGTTGGAGGGTAGAAATATCTCTTAGTAGCCAATGCTCTTTATCCTTAATTGATGTCCATCACATAATCTTCTGATCACTATTAGATCTTCTCTACTTCACTTCTCACTTAGCTGTTGAAAGAATACTCTATCCTAGTAATATGAAGAGTGATGATAATAACAATCCTATCTAATAAAGATGGAATATGCAAATTGACCATCACTTCATGACAAAGATGGTGGCACCCACAGCCAATAAGGAGGGAATATGCAAATTGACATGACAAAGATGGCAGCAGCTTGGCTGGGATGCTTGCATTGTCACCATGGCAACGACACAGGTGTTCCGCCCTGCCCAGTCACTCCGAGACTCTGGGCATTGCACGAAGGCAGAAGGCAGCTCTGGGCCGGAGCAAAGGTGGAAAGGTGGCTCTGGGCCGGAGCGAAGGTGGTGCTGGCAGCCAGGGGAAGGAAGGCCTATTCTTGCACGAATCTTCGTGCATCAGGCCTCTAGTGGTTTAATAGTATGCTATGTGCCATTCACTGAATTAAATAATTCTCCTATATTCTTTCATTAAATTTAATTCTCATGACAACTTTATAAGGAACTACTATTATTAACCCCCTTTTTAAATGGGAAAACTGAGGCTTGTGAAGCAGAAATATCTTGCCTAAATCACAGTTCATAAGTGGCAGAGGAGGACTGAAACCTGTGTGGGCATGCATGTACAGTGTGATTGAAACTTCGTGGCCCATGCGCAGAAGTTAGTATTTTGTGGAAGAGCCAGTATTTTGTGGAAGAGCCACACTGAAGGGGCCAAAGAGCTGCACGTGGCTCACGAGCCGCGGTTTGCCAAGCCGTAGTTTGCGGATCACTGGTCTAGGCAATAAACTTTATCCTCTGAAAACATTGCACATGGACCTCCTCTGTCCAGGACCTCCCTGAAGAGCCCCACTCTCCTCTGCTTCAGTATCTTCTTTTATTGCCAATATCTCACTGTGGCAGTTACATTTCTTATAGTTATGTCTCCATTAAGGGCATGGACCAAGTTTATATATCACTGTATCCCCGGCATTAACTCATGCCATGTACATGATAGATGACAGTAACATTCATTGAGTTGACCACAATTTCTTCATTGGCTCCAAGAGTGCATTCCCTGAGACTAGTTATTCTGCCAACCAGTTCGCCTTTGGGCAATAAGTCAACTGGCATATTATCCTATATAATAAAAGCTTAATATGCAAATTGTCTCCTCAGGAATTCGACTGACCAGGTGTTCAACTGCTCACTATGATATGCACTGACCACCAGGGGGCAGCGCAGAATGAAGGAAAGCCCCAGCCAGCAGCCGGCAGTCAGGGGAAGGAAGACCCCAATTGGCCCTGATCATCGGCCAGGCCTAGGGACCCTACCTATGCACAAATTTTGTGCACCGGGCATCTAGTTTATAATATGTTCTCTTTAAAGTTTGAATTTTATGAATTGCTTTGCTAGTAGCTAAACACCTCTTTCAGTGAGCTAATGAAGTTAAATTTTGCTTTTCGTTGTTTTGTGTTTCTTTTACCTGTAGGACATCTACAATGCAGCTTTGTGGCTGATTCATGTTCTTTCTTCCCCTCATGTGTTTTTTTAAAAATACCCACACCACCCTCGCCCCTCCCCTTTGGCAACCATCAGCTTGTTCTTTATGAGTCTGTTTCTGTCTTGTTTATTCATTGTTTTATTTTGTTAGGTTTCACATATAAGTGAGGTCATAATGGTATCTGTCTTTCTCTGACTTATTTCATTCAGCATAATACCCTCTAGGTCCAACCATATTGTTGCAGATGGCAAGATTTCATTCTTTTTTATTGCTGAATAATATTCCATTGTGTGTGTGCACATGCGCAAGCGCCATATCTTCTTTATCCATTCACCATTGATGGATATCTAGGTTGTTTCCATGTCTTGGCTATTACTAGTACAGCTGCAATGAGCATAAGTGTGCATATATCTTTTCAAATTAGTGTTTTTGTTTTCTTCGGATAAATACCCAGAAGTGGAATTGCTGGATCATATGGCAACTCTGTTTTTAATTTTTAATTGCACCAATATACAATCCCACCAACAGTGTTTCAAGGTTCCCTTTTCTGAAGTCAAGTCTTTAAACCAAAAAGATTGAGGATAAGATTCTGTTTCCACTAACCTTTATTAATCATGAACTTTGTACCAGGCATTGCACAAGACATTCTCATATTGTCTTACTTTAGCCTTACAATGATCTGGGGGTACTATTCCGCCAATTTTATAGCTAAAGAAATGAGGCTCCAGCTGATTGCAAGCTGTGCTCATGATCCCCAGTTACTTGCAGAATCTGAATCTGAATTCAAAGCTATTGACTTGAAGTTTAGGACTCTCTCTGGACCCACCGTGATCCTGTTCAGATGCCTCTGTGAGCACAGCCTGAATGTGGGCCAGCCTCTCACTTGCCCTTTGTGTCATGTTGCATCCTGACAGCAGCAGCAGCATGGCCTGGGACCCATGAGAAGACTACTGAGCACAGAATGTTTTGGAAGCTGAGTGGTGTGTGTAACAGAGATGGCCCTATGTTTAAACACAGCTCAGACACTTATACATTCACATCCATACTCAACCCACTGAAACGGCAACAAGGACCAAGAGAACATTGATTATTACATTAAAGAAAATCTACCTTTGGCCTTTTCTGGAATGACAGTTATAACTGGAGCCCAGGCTTCTGGAACTGGCCTTCTGCTACCTCTTGACCAGTATGAAATCTTGCCACAAGTATTGGCTCCCTATCCTTGCTGACAATCTAAATGGTCTTAAAGATTACCCATTCACTGGAGCATTGGTCTGAGGAAAGCATGACTTAGAAGGTGCATCTGCTGGGGTGATGGGGAACAGAGGTGAATCCTGAGCATCACAAAATTCAGTAGAGGTGATGGTGGGATCTGGCAGTTGTGCAAGGATCTCTCTCACTCAGATCTAAAGATACTTTGGGACTCTTTGGAACACACTGGACCTCAGATGCCCCAGGCTCCAGGTCATTGACCTCCATGAGGCCTGAGATGAGGATTCCCTTAGGAGAGAAAAGCATCCTGTTCCTGCATGAGTTTTATAAGTTTATTGGTGAGACACAGGAAACATGGAGGCGAGGTCTGGACAAGGACAAGAGCTCACATATTAACAGCCTTCCTTGATGGGAGAAGCTTGCAGGAGTACTCCCAGCTATAAAATCTGCAGGGACCCATGCAAGGTACAATGTATAACCAGATATTTCCCCTGAGCTGGAGTTGCTCTCACAGGAGACAGGTCTCTCAGTGGGCCTTCAATCATATGTACCCATGGAGCACATGGCCAAATAACTCTCTAAACCAGGGCATGGAAGGGGCAGTATGAGGATGGGGGTTACCTTGAGAAAAAAATCCTTCCACTGCAAGGAGAAGGATTCAGGAAGGGGAGGCCCAGTTAAGAGGTCTCTTGGTACAGAGGCAGGGGATGGGCTAGATTCTAGAATCCCAATTCTACATTAAGAAAGACTAAGGCAGAGAAATGGAAGAAAGGAGATGTCAGTGGCAAAGAAAACCAAAAGAAAATGTGACAGAGGAGTTTCCTGGAGAAGAGAGTCCAGAGGAAACCAGGGCAAGGCAGACAACTGTCTTTCTCTTTATCTTGTAGTTTTCTTAGTAGGTGAACTCAGAGCTGAGGTCTTCCCAGAGGGATCCTTGAATTCACTTGCACTCCCCAGTCTGGTTTTGGCCTCCCCTCGAGGGCTGCAGTTCCCACTGCCAGTGACACAGCCTCCAGACAGCATGCTGTAGCCAACAGAGCTGGGTCGGTAGCCATAGGTGCCTGTCCCGCTGAACCCAAAGCCAGCTCCTGTGCCCGCGGTCCCAGCTGTGGAGCTGCTGATGACTGCTGAGGAGGATGGAGGGACAAGTGATAAGTGTGTGTCCCAGAGCAGGAGTGGCCCTGAGTCCCCTCCAACTTCCCAGTCCCAACTAACAGTCCCAGTCTCCACTTTAAGCAAATACTTCACATCAACTGTGGACTTGAGTTGAGTGACACACACTCAATTCCTGAGCAGCTCAAGCACCAGGAGAAGCAGCCCAGATCCCATAGGACCCCCAAATCAGGAAACTTCTCCTTCTCTGAACAAACAGAAATAGCAAGGACTTCCCCTGAAGAACAGATGTTGCCCAAGCAAGTCTTGCATCTAACTTTAGAATCCAGTCTTATTTTTTTCAAAGAATATCCTGGTTCGTTCATATAGGGGAGTTTTGCTGGCCTGTCTTAGAAGGAGACGGAGCTGAAGCCTGTAGGGCCAGCATTAGAGCTGGTGTGCACAGTGTGTGTATGCCTGATCCCCACTCTCAGTGAGTAGGTATGATTCTTCCTGCCCCCTGCTTCCAGGCTTCCAAGCTTCCATCATGTGCAAATGCTGAGAGTTTCATTTCAGCATGGGAGAGATTTCGGGGTGGGAGGGAGGGGTCAGAGACCAATGTGAAAGGTCAGGAAGTGATGGGAACAGAAGCAGCAGGTCTCCGCTGGGAGGTGATTATGACAGTGGAGCTCGGGCTGTTCCATGGGGGTCCCAGTCACAGGCACCCACTTAGTTTGTGCTTGTTAATGGACTAAAAGCATTCCCCCATAGTCATGAAATACTCACAGATGCTCACAGAGTTGGTGTATTCTCCAGACATCCTGCATGGGGAGAAAAGCACAGGTGACTCTCTCACATGGTATCCATGCTACCCTCACCACAGCCTGAAAGCCTCAGACAGACTAGCTCATGTCCAGGCACACATTGCACCTGCATATCTCTAAGCACCTCCCTCTCCATTCTCAGTCTACTCTCCCCACTTCAGAGACTATGAACTTGCAGCCTTGGAGCCCCCAGTAGCAACACTTCCTCCTGCCAACTTTCTCCTTAATCCACTTTTTCATTCCTGAGAGGCTACAGCCTGGATAAGTACATGAGGAAATAGCATCAGGATTTGCCACTGGTGGACTAACTGTATGATTTCAGGACCAGTAACCTGTCCTCTCTGAGTCTTTTCTGTAAAATGGTGCTGAGGTAGAACAGGGTTTTTTAAATGTCAGTGCTTCAGGTACCACCCTCCCAAGTGTTCCTATGACCATGTACAACTCATACTGTTATATAGCTAGTATTTTCACTGACTCTGCTTTTTATACAAAAATGCATTTCTCTTAAAATGAAGTATTATAGCACCAGGATAAATAGACAACCAGTACCTACTATCTGACCAAACAAGAACAAAGCAGTAGCAATAAAATCAAAATAGTAAAAATTAAACAATTAAAAAAATTTTGGCTAGTTGTGTTGTCTGCTCAGAGACTGAACCTGGGTCTATTCTCTTTATTAATAGGGGTATTTATGAGTGGCAGGGCAGTGGCAGAGATGTAATAGCACCATGCAGAGATTTTCTCCAGTCCGAAGACTAGAACGAGAAGAACTGTAAAGGAAATCTCTGTCTCATTGGAGCCTGTGCTATTTAAGGCTATGTAGGTAACCTGAAAAGCATCTCCAGCCACTCCATCAGCCTGACCCCCACACTCTGGGAAACTGAGTCAGAGGATTATAAAAGTTCTTCCCCCTCTAACACTCTAAGATCCCTTCCATCACCCACCTGCACTCCTCGCCCTCCAGCAGCTTGCGGTAGGTGGCGATCTCTATGTCCAAGGCCAGCTTTGTGCTCATCAGTTCCTGGTACTCCCTCAGCATGCGGGCCAGCTCCTCCTTGGCCTGATGCAGGGCAGCCTCCAGCTCATCCAGCTTGACCCGGGCATCCTTCAAGGCACAGTCACCCCGCTGCTCGGCATCAGCGATGGCTGTCTCCAGGTTGGAGCACTGAGGGCCAAGAGGTAGCATCCCCCTGAGTTCTAAGGCACCCTGAGCCTCACTTCATCCCCCCCAATCTGTTCACAGTGGTTGGACCCTCTTCTGTCCTTGCCCACATCCTAGAGCAAAGCTGAACCCCCATGGTGCTGGGGCTTGTCAACCTGGGACTTGGAGAGGCGGTATCCTCAGACACTTAGCTTTCTGAAAAGATGCTTCCAATTGTTCCCAGACTTCATTTGGGAGCTAAGTGTGGGGGTTGAGTACAGGGGTTCTATTTGAGGAGTGGGGTTCTGAGATGGAGAACCAAGAGAAGGAGAGGAAGCAAGGGGGAGTGTATGTGATGGGCAGTCCACCCCTCCCTTGAGAGTGAGCCAGGAGCCCCTAAGGCCCCTTCACCTGCTTCTTCACACTCTCGATCTCTGAGCGCAGCCTTTGGATAAGCCGGGTCAGCTCTGAGATCTCGTTCTTGGTGTGCTTGAGGTCATCCCCATGCCGACCAGCTGCCAGCTGAAGCTCCTGGAACTAGAGGGAGATGGGCCAAAGCAGAGATTTTGACTCAGGGATGGGTAGGGGTTTCCAATTTCACCAGGCCTATCAGCCTCCCACTCAATAATTGGATTTATTTATTTTCCTTAAGCACAGTTGCTCTCACTGATGGTTAGATCTGGCCATAAGGACTGTTGGAAGTCTCATACTCTCCACACTGAAATTTTATAACACACAACTCCAATTATGGTACTCTTCTGCGTATAGCCCTTCAAAGTTAAGGTCAAATTCAAACTCCTAGTATGGCATCAAGGTGCTTTGAGATCTGGCATCCACCAGCTTCTCTATACTCATTTCTCACAGCCTCTGCCCATCACCTACCTCGCTTTCCACATGTGCCAAATAGTTCTATGTTTCCTCAATATGTCACATACTCTCAAGTCTCTAAGTCTTTGCATGAACTTCTCCCTCCACCTGGAAAACCCTTTCCTATCCATTCTCTCTTGTTCCCTAGCTGGCTCCAACTCAGTCAGCACAGAATCACTTCCCGCAGATGCCTTCCCTGATCCCTGGTTGGGTGCACCATAGCTCCTGCCACACCAGTCCATAGCTCTTCCACACAGTACTGTGATAACAAGTTTCTAAATCTTTACCATCAGACTCAAAATGACTAGAGGGCAGGCACCTGTTTTAAAATTATTTATTTCTGAATTCCTAATACCTAGCACAGAGCCTGCCTAGTGTTCAAAGAGGTCTGATGGATGGAAGAATGAATGAGTAAATGAACCAAAGAAGGAGCTGAAGAGCTGCCCATCTATATTTCCTGTGACTTCCTTCCCTTCACAGTTCAGCTGGGCCCCAAGCTACTGGCAATCTTGCTGGGCATGGAGGAACATTTTGTATATGAGTGGTGGGGATAGAATGACTATATCTAACACTAGTCATGAATTTTGGATCATCTACTCTTTGGGGATTATTCCTGGATTTGATGTCATCGATTGGATAGTCAACAGAGGGTATTCCATTTCTACCCCATAATTTGGCTGAAGGGAAACACAAAAACGTATGACATTCAGACCTCTAGTGTCTATGCATTGCTTGTTTCTGTCCCTGGGTGCTTGGCCTTGCCAGTTCTCTCATATCTGGCCCCAGCATGGCCCTAGATTCAGGATTCCTCTTCTGAGACTCTGGAAAGCAAGGGTCTTCTCTCTATGATCCTGTGTTTTATTTTGGGGGATAATCTTAGGACAAAAAACACTATGGCAAAACAGGTGGCCTTCTCTTGCTTCTCTGCAAGGCTATATGAGCACAACCTCCCACACTCTAGCTGGGAGAGAGGCACTGACTCCCCCAGTTCTGACCCATGCAGTCTCCTGAGTGACTAAACCACACAGCCACCCCTGACCCTAGCTTGCAGCAGAAAAGTAGAGGGATTTGGGCCTGGGGACCTGAGTTGGAACCTTTATCAAAAAGCCCTGGACTGTGGTGTCTACCAGTCTTTGAAAGACTCCCTTCCTTCCACCCCTGCAGGCCAAATCTTTCTGTCCCCAGGGTAGCAAGGAGTGGGTGGGGGGAGGGGTAAACAAGATAAAGAGAGTGCGGATTTCCCTTGAGAAGGAGCCTGATAAATAGCAAGGAACAATTAGGAAATTGCCATTTAGATCTGAGAAACCACATTATCTAAAGAATTATCTTCCCACCCACAACCCATTAGAGGAGTTAAGATCTAAGGGACTCAAGCACCCCCTTTATTCTTGGACTGGACTTGAATGAAAAGGTAGGAGTTACCTAATCTCAGATCACACTAAAGAGACCCCGTAATTTATTATAATTAACAAGGGATTTGAGATGCTAACTGCCCATGTTTTCTTCCTTCCCAGACGCAGTTCAAAACTCTTCCTGCAGAAGTTGTTCCTGACTTGCCCCATCTGATCCTAGTTCCCTAACCTCTGTCTCCTCTGCATTCATGACTCTGTGCCTCATTTGTTTGCACTCAGCTGTGTGTGTCCTCCCATGGCTGTCATGTTCTAAGTAGATCCTAAGGGCAGAGCTTCATCTTCCCCTCCTTTTGGGCTTCCACCAGTGTCAGGGAGAGTGTCTTGATCCCAACTAGTGTGTGGGCCATGGTGGGTCACGGGACTGGACCAGAGGTCTTAGAACCCTTGACTCTAGAAGGTGTGTAGCCTCACCTTGGTTTGGTACAGGGCCTCAGCCTCAGCCTTGCTCTTCAGGGCGATCTCCTCATACTGGGCGCGGACCTCATTGATGATGCTGTCTAGGTCCAGGTTCCGGTTGTTGTCCATGGATAGGATGACAGATGTGTCACTGATGTGAGATTGGATTTGAACAATCTCCTGCATGGGAAACAAGGAGGCATGAAATGTCTTTTGTGAGCCAAGGAAAGTGCCAAGGTGATGGCCCTCTCCCAGCAGGGGAGCCCCCAAACCCTCCAAAAACAGATGCAGCTGTATTCTCCAAAATGTATAAAAATGGACCTCACCAGCCCAGAGGTTCCAACACCACACCTAGAAACTGCTGAGTGGGTTTGAAGCAGCCCAAGTAGAAAACAGCCCACATGTCTGTCACCTGAACTGGTTAGAAGTAGAAAAGGTGGAGAGGAAACAAGCTGGACAACACACAAGAGACACTAAGGACACCGCAGCCCACAGATGCTTGGCCAACAGGCTGAGGCTTGAAGCCAGATTGTCATAGAGTCAGTAGAAAGGTTTTGAGGCCTCCCCACCTCCATTCCTAAGGATTTCTGACCAAGACCTGAGGAAATGCCCCAAGTGACAGAGATAAAACAGGCAAAAATGAGAATGTGCTCCGCTGAAGATCAGTGGGAACTTCTTAAGCACCCCGACTTCCTGGAGGATGTGAGAGCAGGCCACCGAAGGTAGCCTGGAGCTGATGGAACACATCATTTGGAAGTACGAGGGTGTATTTCACTCTTGCCTTGGATCTACCAAGTTCCCAGCATCCAAATACTAGAGACCTGGGCTCTTAAAGTTACTGATGAGTAAATAACTGCTCATTTACGTCTGTCCTTCTAGAAGACAGGGTTGGGGGTGGGATGGGGGAGCCTTACCCCTTCGTACAGACACTTGAAGAACTTGATCTCTCCATCCAGGGCGTCCACCTTGGCCTGCAGCTCCACTTTGCTCATGTAAGCCGCATCCACATCCTAAGGGAATCCAGGGAACCCCTGACATCACCCTTCTTCAAGTCCAGACAGCATTCTCCTGGGAACTGGCACCCCAGTACTGACTCGGTGACAAGCTGCCTCAGGGAATGGAGTCAAGACCAAGGGGGCAAGAACCTGACTTCCACCCAGGACTCACTGTGAGACCCTAAACAAGTTTTCCATGACTCTGGAACTCCTTCTGCCCCGTCCTAAAATGGGATTGTTTTACTGCCTCTATTTCTCAAAGAGAAGGTACAGGAGAGAGCCTTACCCCCCCCCCCCCCTCCCCCCCCCCCCGCCTTCCCCCCCCACACACACACACCCTCACACATGCACAGTCTGTCATTCAGACTGCAATTTGCCAGAGACAGGCAGAGTTGGGAGGCAAACCTATAGCCCCTCTCAAAGCATATCCTATTCCCAAAGCCAAAGTGGGTATGACCTGGGGATTGGCTATCCATGTCTAGGCTCCTGCCCATTTACACAAAACATGAAGCTGTTCTAGATAAACACCAAGGTGTCCCAACATGTCCCAAGCAACAAATCCCTCCATCTGCCTTGGCTCCAGGCCCTTGTAGGGAGCACAGACTTCAGTATTCTCTCTGATGTCAGCTCACCTACCCTCCACACTCCACTACTTGGGTAACTGAGGGATATGCACCACCTCCTCACCTTCTTAAGCACCACAAATTCATTCTCAGCAGTTGTGCGCTTGTTTATTTCCTCCTCATACCTGCAGGAAAAGCATCACAGTGAGCAGGATGTGTGTGTGTGTGTGTGTGTGTGTGTGTGTGTGTGTGTGTGTGTTCCCATTATGAAAAGAGAAAGGAGGTGCTCATGTTGTGTATCTTTTAATAGGTATTATTCTACATCTTTGCAGATCTGTCTAACTCACTAAGACTATTTGGTCAGCATTGTGGGCAGGGTTTGAAACAATCCCCTCCTGCACCAGGTGACCAGATGGTTTGGGGTCTGAATTTCCTCTGCTGTCTGGAGAGTGAGTAGGTTCTTCCTCCTTCCATTCAGTGTCCAAATCACAGGAACATGACACTGTCTTTCAGCCATGATTCTTGTGTCCGACACCCCTACCAATAACTCCACCTCATCCTCAAGCATGAGTTCCAAGGCAGCCAGCACTGTCCCCTGGGATAGCAAGAAGAAGCATGGCCCAAATGTACAGGATCTGAGGGAAATGAGAAAGGAAGCCCAACAGAAATCCAAGCTCCCTGACATGCAGAGGAATTTCCTTGGAACTTAGAGAGGCAACTCAGGAACCAAGAGGCTATGGGGCAGGCACACATGAGCTCTGTCAAGTGAGGAAAAGAGAGAACATGCCCTGGAGGTAGTCTCTGTGAGGACAGTCCTGCTGCTTTCCAAGAGGCTGGCTGTCCCCTGTCCAATTTGCTCAGCTGTCATCTTGCCCAGACAAAAGAGCTCAAGCTGGGTCACTCCCACCTGAGCTCAGTGCTCCTGAGACCAGAGGCAAATGTCCAGTGCCTGCTGGGAAAACCCAACCCAGGAGGTGGTCAATCTGAGTGCAGGATCCTTGCTCACCTCTTCTTGTAGTCCTCCACCACATCCCGCATGTTCCTCAGCTCTGAGTCCAGCCTCACCCTGTCCCCCGACAGCGTCTCCAGCTGCTTCCGCAGGTTGCTAATGTAGCCCTCCAGGATGGGCTCCAGGTTGTTCTTGCAGTTGTTCAGGTCCAGCTGCTGCAGCAGCTCCCACTTGGTCTCCAGCACCTGGTTCTGCTGCTCCAGGAACCTCACCTGGAACCCAGATCAACAGACACTCAGTCATGGGGAGAGGCTGTGTGTTTCCTTTTCTGGTTGGTAGCTGTGTTCTCTTACGCTGCATTAGCTTAAAGGGTAAGCCTCATGCCCCTCCCCACCCAGGCCCTTTGTCTGACTGAGGAGTTCTCTTTCTGAGAGAACCCGACACCATCAGGAGGGGCTGCAACATCTTCATTTCCCTCTTATCAAGATATGTCTCCTCTGTATCTGTCCAAACCTGCTTGGACCAATGTCAGTGGTCAGCCTTGGCCAGTGCTGACCTTAAATATGTAAACTGACCTGTATTGGCCTTCATGCTCCTGTGTGGCTCTGCTCAGACCCAGTAACCTGGCCTGTGCTCTGCCTACTCTCTGTCTTTTAGGTCATGGCCTTTCCCAGCCCAGCCAGAGGTCGGTGTTCAACTGACCTGGGGTCTCAGCACCGCCTATGTTGCTTTCATGTCCAAATCTATTATCTCAGAGCATTTCCCCAGTATTCTCAAGTGGCAGTTTATAAATATTATATCATTTCCTTGCAGAAAACCCTCTGGTGGTTCCATATCACCTACAGAGTCAAATCCAAATTCCTTCTTATGCTCTTCATAATGGGCCCAACCCCTCTGCTGCCATTCACCTAACATTCACACAACCCAAGGTGTCCTGCTCTCCAGATAAGTCCTTCATGCTGCATGTGACTGCTCCCTCTCCTGCGTTGCCTTTCCCCACCTTCGTCTGGCAAACTCCTACTCAGCTTTGACTACCCTGTCATCTTTG